CCTCTTCTGATTCTTCCTCATGCTCCCTCTCAGGAAGAGCATCTTCCTCCCTTACTATAACTGGGTCAACCTCTGCTGACATTGTTTCTTCTTGACTACAGGAGTGACTGTTTTAATCAAGGGTTGGGTCTCTGGTTTAGCCACAGCATCTGTTTGTATGTCCTCAGATCCAGAGACCCTCTTGCTCCCTTAAGGGTGCTGGACAGAGGCTTGGTAGGTGTAGGCCAGACCCCAACGTAGTGTGAGAAGTTATGCCTCTCTGGTATAGAGAAGGCATCCTTTCTTCAAGTGGTCCGCCACTTCAACAGGATTCTTCTGCGCCTGTTTGGGTGTGAAGTCCCAGACCATTGGAGGTGAAAACTGTTCTAGGCGCTTACCCAAATTCTCCCCCCCACTTTGCCGCCCATGACTCGACATCCCCGTGTGGTGTTCCTAACCTCAGGGCACATCCCTGTGTGGCGTTGGTTAACCTCAGGAAAAGCCAAAATCAGATTCATGGTGTCCACCAATACAAACATTTTGGGATATAAGAAAATGAAGGACCATTGCAACAAGGAAGGAAACATCTACCCTGGAGGAGAAGAGAGGGGAGGTATCATTCTTCATTTGCCCCACAAAGTGGCTCCCAGAGGAGAAAAGGAAAAAGGTGGAATTGTTAATTGTCTCCACAAAATGCTTCCTGGAGTACTGGGACAGCAGCAGTGCAGGTCCCAAATACCAGATTAGGCTGAAGGCCAGTGCTTTTATCATAGCTCTCCCAGGCAAAACACAGCAAAGTGATAAAGAACACAGCAAAGAGAAAAAGCTAAACCCAGCCATTAACAGGCACTGGCATTTGATGTACAGCAAGAGGGGGAACAATCAACGGAGCAGGTGAGGGAACAAATAAATCAGTACTGAGAGCAAACAAGTCAAGATTGTGACCAGCAACAGCAAGTAACAGCCTGCCAAGCAACACCTAAACAGGTGGTGTAACAGCTATGAATTTAGTCTAATACACTCCAGTCAAATCTGTTGTTATTTTGAAACCCTCATGCCCCACATTGGGAGTGAAAAAGGACTGTTGTGGGTTGGCCCCAGCCAGCAACTAAGCACCCACATAGCTGCTTGCTCGCTCACTCTCCACCACAGCAGGATGGGGGAGAGAATCAGAAGAGCAGAAGCGAGAAAAACTTGTGGGTTGAAATAAAGGCAGTTGAGTAAGTGAAGAGGGGGAAAAATGGGGGGGAAGCAAGTGGTGCAAAGTCAA